TCACGCTGCGTGATCATCGCCTCGAATGTGGCTTGTCGCTGCTGTTATTGTTCCCGGAAGGAGGCCTCGAGCGTAGCGTTTCGCTGTTGCTGTAGCGCGCGCTCCTCCCGTATCTCTCGGAGCTCCTCCAACGTTGCGCGCAGCACCTCCGCGAGACTCGATGTCTCCGTTCCTTCCGGTGTCCTTGCGCAAACCCTTTTCCTCGTTGAAGCCATCACAAACACAGTTCGCTGATCGTTCTTTTCGATCCGCTCGTCCGTTCGATCCCGGACGAGCCCCCAAAATGTTACGCCCGGGGCGGTGAGTATCGCGTTCATGCACTCGCTCGCGTAACGTTCGCGCTTCCGCACTCGCGCTCGCGCACGCGCACCGGAAGACCGCGGGGAAATGAAAGGAACACCAAATTAAGAACGCAAAGAACACCCTCTTTATTATAACTTAGAACAGAGAACGTGGCGAATAGACAGAGCAGAGCAAGATACGTCCGCATGACACGACGGCTTGTCTCCAAATCTGATATGTCGTCCGTTTGACAGACGACAACGCGTCGTCAGGTAAAACATCCGACAGCTGAACCGGCTCGGTGGTACATCGAACGACGCGGGCGTAGACACGGGCGTAACAATACTTATATCACAGAAACAAGAAATCTTATTTGTAAAAAAAAAAGAAATTACTTAATGTTTTTTTATATCCAAAAAAGATATTCTCACCTGAGCATTTCTATAGTGATATATTGAATCTCATGTAATACATATGCGTTCGGTTTGGCGCTTATGAGCATTATTTGTCCTTGTTTCACATTTGATTAACAAGGACAATGATTTGATAAGGATAAAATACTGAGAGCGCTGTAAGCGCCAAAGCAAATGCAGCAATAGTTTGGTAAGGCTGATTATAATATTTTATATTTTCATAGACGGGGCAAATTCATTACGAAATTTATATAAATATATATTTCTCCATTTCCTAGTATATTATTATTATTTATGTTTTTATTAAAGAATCAAAATTGTTACTTTAAGATGAA